CCAGGCCAGGTGCACTTTAAGGCCACGTAAAGTGTCGAGAGTCCGCTGGCAGGAGGTCACGGGACAGACCCAGCAGGTGCCACGGGTCGACTTAGATGACTACTGGTAGATACACCTGTGGGGCCCGACGTCCACCCCACCGCCCTCGCTAGGCAGGTGGGGCACGATGTCCGCCCGGTCCGCTCCACCGTGTCGGTTGGCTCCCGCCGAGCCCCCGCCGACCGAGTGACGGGGCCCTCCGCGCTAGCGCCCTCTCCGAGGGACATCCTCGTGCTGCTGGCTCGTAGCCGCAAGAGGTTAGACCACACACCCGTGCACTCCGCACGTGCACGGCGACCAGTCCGCCCGGCACGCCGCGCCGCACAGCTCCCCACTCTTCAACGGAACCACGGGGGCCGAGGCCTATACGTTGAGTTTTCTCGTGCGCACGGTGGGCGCGTGCAATTCCTCGTCGGTACCGCCCTCCGCACGCGTTGCCGTCGTCCGTTACGCGTGGCACCTTCCCACGGGGGCAGGGACGGCTCGTGCGCGCCCCCGTCGCCTGATTACCCCGCCCTCTACCCACAATACCTCTTGTGTTTGTTTTTGTCACTGGCTCTGCACCCCGACGGGTGCCACTGATGGGAAGGAATGGAGGCGATCGCTGCTCACTTTTGGCAGAAAAATTGCCACAATGTCATGAACTCCCTTTGCTTTGAAGGCAATCTGAGGCAGCTCTGTAGTGTCCGCTTCCGTGGGCCGTTCCCTCCGCGCACGACGGATTGCGTTGCCGCACGAGACATGCGAAGAAGCGATTCTTTGTTACGTTCCGCAGTGCTGCCGGCGTGAAAGTAGGGTGCCACGGTGGCTAGGAGATGTTAACTCCCCCACCTGGTATGCAGGAGGTCATGGGTTCGATCCCGACCCTGACGCCTGCTGCTGCTGTATATTTGGAGTTTGCGTCTCTCTCTCTCTGCCTGTGGTCGCGTGGATTTTTCTCCAGGTCCTCTGGATTTTCCCTCCACATTTATAATCAACATCGCCACGCATTTCAGAGTATTTGGCTGCTGCTATAAATGTCCACATGACGACAAGCCACATCGTTGAGCTATCATTTGTGATAGGCCAGGTTACTTCTGCCAAAGACGCTATATAGTTCAGTGGGCCTGGTACAATAAAAAAGTTAGTTGTAGTTCAATATAAATGCTTATTTATAATTAACAAATCAACACATGTCACGAAACTTTCCGTAACGACACCGGCACGCGGACTCAGCCCCGTGTGCATCTCTCGGCGTCTTCGTGCGTCTCTCTGTCTCTCTGTGTGTCTCTCTGTCTCTCTGTGCGTCTCTCTGTCTCTCTGTGTTTCTGTCTGTCTCTGTGCGTCTCTCTGTCTGTGTGTCTCTCTGTCTCTCTGTGCGTCTCTCTGTGTGTCTCGCTGTCTCTCTGTGCGTCTCTCTGTGTGTCTCTCTGTCTCTCTGTGTGTCTCTCTGTCTCTCCGTGCGTGTCTCTGTCTCTCTGTGCGTCTCTCTGTCTCTGTGTGTCTCTCTGTGTGTCTCTCTGTCTCTCTGTGCGTCTCTCTGTGTGTCTGTCTCTCTGTGTCTCTGTGTGTCTCTCTGTGCGTCTCTCTGTCTGTGTGTCTCTGTGTCTCTCTGTGCGTCTCTTTGTGTGTCTCTCTGTCGCTCTGTGCGTCTCTCTGTCTGTGTGTCTCTGTGTGTCTATGTGTGTCTCTCTATGTGTCTCTCTGTCTCTCCGTGCGTGTCTCTGTCTCTCTGTGCGTCTCTCTGTCTCTCTATCTCTCTGTGTGTCTCTCTGTGCGTTTCTCTGTCTGTGTGTCTCTCTGTCTCTCTGTGTGTCTCTCTGTGTGTCTCTCTGTCTCTCTGTGCGTCTCTGTCTCTCTGTGTGTCTCTCTGTCTCTCTGTGTGTCTCTGTGTGTCTCTCTGTCTCTCTGTCTCTCTTAGCGTCTCTCTGTCTCTCTGTGCGTCTCTATGTCTCTCCGTGCGCATCTCTGTCTCTCCATGCGTCTGCGCGTGTCTCTCCAATCCCCCAGGGCGCCTCGGGTTGGGCAATCAGGAGCTCCACCTGTGCCCGCAGCCGGTGGCCGTCCTTCCGCCCTACGAGCCGTGCACCGCACACTGCGGCATCGACTGCTCCATGACGTCACCTCCAGCGGCAGGCTCCTGGCCTGCGGCAGCAACCGGTACGAGCTGGGTTCAAAGTCTCATTTCTCTACCACTGCTCCTCTGTGGTTTGTTTATCGTCCTTCCCCCGCACCTCCGATTAGCGCGATTGGCTACGTACGGTGCGAAAGAAGTTCAACGGGCGAAACTAAAACTATTAAACCAAACAATTGTTTTATTTTACCAGATAAGGCCCACTGAGCGATGTAGCTCTTTGTCAGAAGTGACCTGGCCACAATTGATAGCGCAACAAAATGGCTTAATACGATGTGGAAATGTACGGAGCCAAATACTCTAAACGCGTTTTTCTAAATGTGGAGGGAAAAACCGCAGGAACCGGAGAAAAATCCACGCGACCGCGGGGAGAGAAAGACGTGCAAATATACAGCAGCAGCAGGCATCAAGAATCGAACCCACGACCTCCTGCGTGCCAGGCGAGGTAGTTAACATCTCCTAGCCACCACCTACATACAATACATACAAAGACAAATGAAGTGACCTGGCCACAATTGATAGCGCCTATGAAGGCCGGCACTGTGGCACACGAGGGGGTGGGTGGCCAGCACCACGCCCAGCCGCCTTTGTCTCCCCAGTGGCGATGGTTTACTACACACCGCGCCAGGTACTCATTTGAGGCCGATTTGACAACTGCACCGGGACGTATGCCCACCCTGGCCCCCCTCCGCCCCCCCCGCCCCCTCTACGTCTGCCCGACGCGAACCGCAGGTACAACAAACTGGGCCTGGATAAGATCTCGCACGACGGCGACGACGCCGCGTGCCCCGCGGAGCAGACGGAGGAGTCGCTGGTGCTCTCGCCGGTGCAGTCCAGCCCGCTGGACGGTGCCCGGGTGGTCCACGTGGCGCTGGGCACCGCTCACTCCGCCGCCGTCACAGGTGGGGCGCGAGTTGTGTTCAGATGCTTGAACAGCAAATATAAACCTTTTGCAAGGAATCAAGTTCCCGCATTAATCACACACGGTACTTGTTGTGAACGTGCAAATAAAAACATGCGCTGATAATTATACGTGGCGTTGTCTTTGAAACTGATTTGGCCGACACCAGAGACGGCCTTCGTTAGGGCATAGTCTCACCAGTGTCAGACCGGGGAACGACGCCAAAAGGCGAACATGATGTATGTCGACATTCTTTCGCACTGTACGTAGCCAACCGTGCTGATCAGATACTTAAATCTCCGTCTGCCTTGTCTTCGTCGCTCTCCTTCACCTCCGTCGTGTGCATCGTCCTCAAAATAACGAGCTGAGCAATTCTGCACGTAGCGCTCGTGCCCTTGTGACCGACTCGGTCGTCAGTCCTGACGCGGTCAGTCGTGCCACGTTTGTAATCCACCAGGACGCACTCTCTCTGGTGTGTCCGTCTGTCCCATCTCTCTTTGCCTCGTGTGTAGGGCGTCTCACTCCGCCTCCATCTCCCCCGTCTGTCTCGTCCTGTCCCTGCACCCCCCCGTCTTCCTCTCTTCGGTCACCGGCCCTGGCAAATTCTTTGCCGATCTCGCCGCGTCTCGTCGTGCAGACACGGGCACGTGCTACACGTTTGGAAGCAACCAGCACGGGCAGCTTGGCGGGGGAGCTCGCACGAGCAGCCGGGCGCCGCAGCCGGTGGACGGGCTCGGCGGGGTGAAGGTGGTGCAGGTCACGTGCGGCGATGCCTTCACCGTGGCCGTCGCCGATAGTGACGACGACGCTGCCGCTGCTGCTGGTGCCGCCGCCACCGTGTGCGTGTGTGAACGTGCGCGCGTGTGAACGTGCGCGTGTGAACGTGCGTGTGTGAACGTGCGCGCGTGTGAACGTGCGCGTGTGGGGAGCAGTAGTGTAGCAGTAGTGTAGTGAGCGCGCTGCGTTACGAACCCAGAGACCCAAGTTCTTTTTCCGCTCACGGCCACCAACACCGGTGACGATTATCTCAATCGGTCCTGGGCCTCTCCTAGGTCGCCATGAGGTGGTGCTGGCCACCCACCACCTCGTCTGTCGTGCCGGCCTAATATGGGGGATCTCTGTTATCTTTGTGCGTGTCTGTGCACTCCCCGCCTTCACCAACACGCGCTGACCAGTGCGAAATAACCCTGACGGTGTGGGGGAGGTTCTCATCCAGCAGCTGAATGGTGAAAGGTCTGTAACCATGACCACCTTATGCTAGGGAGGTGGGGGCCTCTTTGCTCAGAGCACTTGGCTCAGACGCCCCATCATCAATATTGTCACTCCCGTGGTGATAAATTAAGTAACACTTTGTGTGGAGTCAGAGGTTGTTGTTTTTTGCACAGACTGGGCCCACCGCTGTAGGAATGGGGAATTTCCACCACCGGCGATGGAGATGAGCCCTCAAGCATTGCTCCCTTGTCTCGCTGAAACATCCCCCGCTCGTGCGTGCCCGCGTCTCTCCGGTTTACTTTCACGCAAGCCGCGCCAACGCGCGTTCACGCACGATGACTCGCGTTTGTGTCTTAAAAACCACGAGTTATCTTCGTTGCACAATGATAACCTGTGCAGATCCGTGCTCACGCGCGTGCATGATTCTCTCGTGTGCTCGGGCCAGGAGGGCAAGTGTTCACGTGGGGGAAGGCCGCGCGGGGGAGGCTGGGCCGGACCGACGGCGAGGCCTGCGTCCCTGGGCCCGTGCAGCTCCAAGAGACGTTCCCCTACGCGGTCACCTCCGTGTCCAGCCGGCACGGCAACACGCTGCTCTCCGTGCACTGCGCCTCGCATTGCCGCTGACACCGCCGCCGGCACGGCGTCGGCGTGACCGACGGTCCTGCGTCAACGCCCAAATTCCTCGCGGCGGCGGCGGCGCCGGTGGCTTGCCCAAGCCCCACTCACAATGTTGAACATTGTGATGCCTCTGGATCGACCATCCACCCATTGTTGATGTTACTGGGTGATTTTAATAATTTTGACCTTTGTTTTCAACTGCCAAACTGCTTGCCTCAATGTCACTAAAATTACCAAGTTTGGTTATACCTAGAACTCCTCCTGGAAGGCCTCCCCATTGATGTTTGAGGGTTGTTTGACCATACCTCCCCACACTGGTCAATGTGGGTTAGTGAAGCGTGGGGCAGGACCACGTGGTGAGATATCCCTCGCCACGGATATCAGCCTGCGGCCAGGAATCGAACTCCGCTCACCGAACTCAGCGTGCCGACCGCTGCACCGCCGCTCCTCCCCAGGTTGGGCTAGGATGATCAAATGTGTGCTGGGATATATGTCGCGGGATGTGATACAAAATCACGAACAGTTCACTGTGCCACTGAACAAAACGTTCCGATTTTTTATTGTCAATACATTTGTATTTATATTTACGTGCGTGGAGCATTACTTACATACTCCACGGGTGGCACATTGGTTTACCCCTCCCCCCCACACAGCCCCCCCTCCTACTGCTTCCCCACACAGCCCCCCCCTCCTGCTCTCCCACACAGCCCCCCCTCCTCCTACTCCCCATAGCCCCCCACATTTCTCCCCACGGGAACAGATGCCCCAAATTGAATCATTTTTTCTCATGTCGCGCGAATCCCCCTTCTTGACGTCGTCACTGCGCCTTCTGGTGGCACTGGTGCCACTGTGCCCGCCACTCGTCGGCCTGCAGGAGGCTTGCCGAGATGGCCCAGCCGGCGCTCCGCAGCCCGGCGAGCACCTCCGGGAAGAGGCGCGTCGCGAAATCTTGAGACGCCGACACGCAGGGGTCGCCGGCGGTTATTTCTGCGCAAACGAAACGAGAGCCAAAGTAAACATCGAGATTCTTAAGGTTGAAATTTAGCAGTCGCCCGATGGGTTAGGTAAAAAAAACTGGTTGCCAATTTTTTCACGCATCATCATCATCAAGAACCATGGGGCAGATAGCCCCGCGGGTGTCCACTGCACGTTTCGTCATTTGTTCCCATTTTCCTCTCTGTCATGTAGTGCTAGTGTGGTCAAGCAGGGCCACACCTATCTGGCACCAATCTCTTATTTTGTGGTCATGAGATTCGCTCTGTTAGGTCTTCCTCTCTTTCCGGTTCCTTCCATTCTTCCCGAACAACACCATTTTTTATTACTTCTCTTTTTGCCTTACTTCTCAGGTTCATTGCCATTTACCCAGAGAATCCCTCTCACCGAGCGAGTCTTCAGAATTTCGGGACTTGCTGCCAAGTATGGAAATTTAAATGGAACAAATTTTTAATTGGCAACCTTCTGGTTGCGAGCGGCATGCTCGCAACCAGAAGGTTGCGTGGATTTATCTCCGTGTCCCTCCGGTTTTCCCCTCCACATTTAGAATCAACGTCACCACGCATTTAAAGTAGTTGGCTGCGAGAAATCTCCACATGATGATGATAAGCCCACTTCGTTGAGATATCATTTGTGGCCAGGTCACTTGTGAAAAAAGAGCTAGACAGCTCAGCGGGGCCTTGCCTGGAATAAAGTGCCCCCACTGTCACGTGCTATGCAGAAGGGCCGCTACGACTCGCCTCTCTGCAGCTGCAGGAAGCCGTCCCGGTGCTCCGCGGCCACCTCCACGGTGGCCCCGCGTGGCAGAGCGAGCCTCAGCAGCTGTGCGTGGAAGCAGGCCCCGACGATGTCGCTCGCGCCGGCCGAGTAGTGCAGAACGATCGAGACGGCTCCTGCACGACGCCCGCCCGAGAATCAGAGGCAGCCTCCACCCGTCTTGGCGAAGGTCGGGGCAAGGTGCCGTCTGTCGAGCGGCACCCGCCAAGGTCATCGACGGGGATGTGTGCGACGGGAGGCCGCCCTGCCACGGGCCCCTGTTCTGGGTTAAGGGCTCCACGTCGAAACTCGCGAGGACCGTTTCCACCACGCCGCTCAGCGCGGGCTCACGAAGGTGCGGTGGTGGGTGGGGGTTCAGGTGTTGTACCGCGCGTACGTTGGAACTTCTTTCGCACCGCACGTAGCCGACCGTGCTAATCGGAGGTGCGGGGGGAAGGACGACAAACTCAACACTGCAACACTCTAACAAGGTCAACGCTAATTAAAATTGCGAAGCGGTGAGAACGTTGACACGTGCTCCGTTCCTGGACACCGCTGAATCGACGGTCGGCACGGAGAACCGAGGTCTCCCTGGGCCGCCCCGTCCCGTGGGCTCTGGTGCAGTTACACCGCCTGCACACTCGACAGCCAAGCCACCGAGTTGCCTGTGGCACGGTCTGGCATGCAGCCGAACAAAGTCCCGGTCCCATGCAACCTGCCGCACTCACCGCGCGCTTTGTTTAGTCGGAGGAGGTACTTCCTGTTGCTTGCATCCTTCGGTAGTTCACTTGCCCTGCAACGCAACAAACGTAGTTCATTAGCCCTGCAACGCAACAAACGTAGTTCATTAGCCCTGCAACGCAACAAACGTAGTTCACTTGCCCTGCAACGCAACAAACGTAGTTCATTAGCCCTGCAACGCCACAAAGGCCACACTGGCAAAGTGGACTGAACATGGAAACGGTTTCCAGCCAAGCGGAAACTGGGCTTTGTAAATGTTGGAAAGGGCCACGGTCAAGTCAAGTGTGGGAGCACACGCCCGGACGGCAGCATCCACTCTGGGTCGCTCAACCCCCAGGGGTCCCTTCCGGCAAAGCCCCCATAGCAAGCCCCCTTCCCCAGGGGTCCCTTCTGGCAAAGCCCCTCAAGCAAGCCCCCTTCCCCAGGGGTCCTTCCTGGCAAAGCCCCTCAAGCAAGCCCCCTTCCCCAGGGGTCCTTCCTGGCAACGCTCCTCAAGCGAGCCCCCTTCCTATCCGCGAGTCTCGATCTGATGCAGCCTCGCGAGACCGTGAGGCCATCCTCCTCGGCCTCTCCTCCAGCCCACGAGTTTCTCGAGCGCAGAGAATCCGGTGGGCAAGGGGTCAACGCGAAGGGGCAGCTTCAACGCGAAGGGGCAGCTTCAACACGGAGGGGCAGCTTCAACACGGAGGGGCAGCTTCAACACGGGGGGGCAGCTTCAACACGGGGGGGCAGCTTCAACACGGGGGGGCAGCTTCAACGCGGAGGGGCAGCTTCAACGCGGAGGGGCAGCTTCAACACGGAGGGGCAGCGTCAACACGGGGGGCAGCGTCAACACGGAGGGGCAGCGTCAACTGGGAGGGGCAAGCGAGGAGCCACGTGCTCAAGGTGTGGAGAAGCCTCACGTGGTGATGACGTCGGCGAAGGGAACGCCAAAGTTGACCGTGAGGGATTTGCCGAAGGCTGTGGGAATCACAAAGCAGGCGGTTGCCGTCCGAGCGTCTCGCGTGTGGCATCTCTCAAACATTCCATTTTGTCTCTTTCACCGTTTTATTGCACTTACGCTGCCGGTGTCGTGTACGTTTGTATGTGTAGAGGAGTAAAATGGGGACGTGACGTCATGTGTGCCGTCCAGTGTGATGACGTCACGGAACGTGGCATCATGCGCGCTGGGGGGCTCGATGACGTCATGCCTCGTCTAGTATTTAAAGGGGACCCCGTGACGAAAGCGGGGTCACTGTGGGAACGGGTAGAGTGAGAAGCGTGGAGAGGGAACCAGGGGTAGAGAGGGATCGACGAGAGTCAGGAGTGAAGCCGCTGGTAGCCGTAGGAGGCGCTGCTCTTCCCGGTCGGTGGGGTTGGCTAGTGCCCCCATCCGACTCGAGGGAGAGAGACCGGAGCTAGCCGGGCTGGACCAGGACTTAGTGTAGGACCCCTAACCCCTGGGAAGTTGTCCCACCCTTTGTGCTATTGTAATACACTTAATAAACCTTTGGCGAAAGCCCTTACCTTCAAGCCGTCTCCGAGTCGTCGTCGGGAACTCCTCAACACATGTATTACATTACGTGACTTCCGCACAGCTGTGATCGACGTAGCACTCAGAAATCTCTCCGGATTCGGTGTGCAGTGAAAGCGGTGGCCACCCTCTCCACACACCTGTTCACGCTCACACCTGTTCACACAGACAGCCGCTCACCTGTCCTCCTCTGTCTGCCAGGTATAAGGACCGGTCGCTGTGTTCCTTACAGCCCGGGCATACGCACCTGTGAGATCTCAGCCTGGTGCCCTGTGGAGAAGGCCACGGCCCCACGGTGAGGGGCACCTCACACACACACACCTGCGTGAACACCTGTATGAGCACCTGTATGGAGAGCTGCATGGACACCTTTACACACAGCAAGGATCCCCCGTTAGTAGCGAGTCGCAGCACCTGTGAAGGCCGCCGGCACGACGCACGAGCGGGGTGGTGGGCAGTAACCACGCCCGGTTTGTCTCTCTCCCCGGCAGGTTGGTGATGTTTACACTCCGCACCGGGTAGACATTTAAGGCTGAGTAGACCTAGGGGAAGGCCCAGGATGGGTTGAGACACCCGTCACCTGGCGTTGGCTGCGAGAGAGAACTGAACTCGGGGGGGTTTTGGTGGTTCGGAGCGCGGCGAGAAAGCCGCCACACAAAATAGCCACGCGGCTCGGCAGAGGGGTCAGGCAGGAAGCTTCGCTGCTGCCAGCGGGATTACAGAGAGGAGCCCTCGTGGGTTTTCACTGCCGTTCGCTTCGGGGACACAGTGAGGCGTAAGCGTAGATTGAGGAAAGTATTTAACGGGGTCGGCTGGTTAAACTAAACTTTTCACGTGGTCTAACCCAAAAAAAACGCATTATGGATTAAACTAAATTATCAACAATTTTTTTCAGAAGCGACCTGGCCACCCACAAATGATAGCTCAACGAAGTGTCGTCTCGTGTGGAGGAGATGCGTAGCCCCAGCGAGGAGGTTCTGTGAACTCGTGTGTGGTTACGAGCAAGCGTCGTCCCCGCTCTCTCCGCGTCTGTCCAGGAGGCCGGTGCTCGCCGGGGCTGAGAATTTCACAGTCTTCATCAAGAACACAATCAGGTTCCCCAAGTTTGACTTCAGCAAGTGAGACATTCGACACACGCATATATACACGCACGTATATATGCACAAAGACGAAGCTGCCCCAAATAGCCTTAACAGACTGTAGGGGCAAGTGCTGTTAGTGAGTCGCACCTGTGAAGGCCGGAACGGCACACGAGGGGGTGAGTGGCCAGCACCACGCCCGACCGCCTTTGTCTCTCCAGTGGCGATGTTTACACACCGCACCAGGTATTCACCTGGGGCTGAGTCGTCCTACGTGTGATTGTACGTAAGTCACTGCATTGCACGCTTTCAGATATGCTTCTGCGGCTATCTGGAACGCTCTTCACTCTGATACCAGGAAGGCACTGGAGCGGTGCACTTTTAAATCATCATCGAGATTGACAAACTCATTTATTTAGAACTGATTTGTGTTCAGTTTGTTGTCCTTCCCCCGCAACTCCCCATTAGCACGGTTGGCTATGTACGGTGCGAAGGAAATTTAACATACACACACATATACACATATGTAGTGGGTTCGAATTAGGTGCACACACGACTCCTTGGGAGGCAACGCTGATTTATTAGAACGGTAAGTAATATAACACTGCACATAAGGTGGTGACCACCAACCTACTCTAGCTAACACATACTTATCAAATACTCTAGCGTGACCCAGCCAGGTGGCTACTGCCAGGTCCGCTGACTGGAGGCTTGACTCTTCTTGGCGTCTTCACGATGCATCTTCGTTCTTGATACGGGCAGCCTCGAACCTCGTGAGGAGGCTGCTTATATGGGCCTCGGCGTGCCCGGGCCCCACCCCGGCCACGCCTCCCTTCGAAAACCCTCTCGAAGCCCCCCTGCTGTCCACGTGCCCTCCGAGGTGCCCCCTAGGCCCCCAGCCCCCACTGGGGTCCAGTCACGTGTCCAGCCGGGGTCACAGAGAGTGCCACGGCCTCACACCACCCTCGTGGCCTCCCGGAGCCCAGAACCGGCCCTGACGTCATTCCCGCCTCCAGCCGGGATGACGTCATGCGTGTGTGTAGACCCGCGTGGTCATGACGCTCCCCCACATAGTGACGTCACGCTTGTGCGTGTGTACACAGTAGTGATTCTACAATCACTACATCACCCTCCCCCATGTAAAAAAAAACAGCCGTCTCGGCTGTGACAATACAGAAAAAAAACAGTGTGCCTCCAACAACAACAAACAACCGGCGACCGACAATAATCACCCCGAGAAACATATGTACACACACCGAGAGGAGGGGAAGGGAAGAATGTATGGAATGAGGGGAACCAACAACAACATGTACACCAAAAGAACTGGTCAACCCACTTATCCCTTAGCACAGCCCATCCGTGTGAATTTGTACGCATGCACCGACATATGAATGTGGCTGCTTGACAACGGTGTAGGCAATCAACAAGGTGTGAGAGTCATGGACAGCGGCCAGTCTTCAAACGAATTCGCGTGGCCGAGCCTCCAGGGGAGGCAAGCACGCTCTCCCTGGAGGTCCTGGGGGAACTTGAAAAAGGCCCAAAAAGGGCACGGCCCCTCCCCAGGAGTTGGGCAACAGGATGAGCAGGAGTGACGTACGGGCGCTCCACTCTCCCCTTAAAGTCCACATCCGGTCAGCATAACCGGCGACTCCAAGGGCGGCAGGTGCAGGAATCCTGTGACAAGAAGAAACCACCTCCTGAGGCACAGCACCTGTGATGCCGCCGCCACGGAGCTGATCGGCGGGTGGCCCACCTGCGATCTCGCCGCTCCGAGCGGCGAGGCCGACATTGCTCCACCCCACCACCTCCCCACCCCCCCCCCCCCCACCGGAACACACACGCACGCACTCCCCCCCACCATTAGAGCGCGTGGGGAGACACCCTGGCCGACAGGTTTTCACCCAGAAGCCCTCGTAAAGGGATAATCTTCACGGTTTCCTGCAGCCAGGGAATTGGACGGTCTCCCCCGACGCTAACACCCACCGCGGCGCCGTGACTTTGGTTGTAATTATATGGTCACGACGGGGCTGCCGAGCCACCGCGGGTAGACAGCACACACAACACACACGGGTCAGCAGGCAGGTAGGAGGGCAGAGCCACGAGCGGCGGGAAAGCAGGGTCGCCCTCTGGCTGGAGGGTCGCTGAGCAGGTAAATTTAGATGCGGACGTCGCTGAAAGCAACGGCCCGGGGGATGCTGGGATACAGATGGGCCTACCGATTGGCGGGTGATCCCAGCGAGCTGATTGGCCCGCGAGTCGGCACCAGGTAGCCCCTTTGATGTAGAAAGAATAAAGCGGGTCAGGGCGAAGGAAAAAGGTTCTCTGGCTACTCGAGTCAACCCCAGGCCCGTCAACTCCCGAGTCCAGCCGCGCGAACGTCCGTGGGACGTATCGACGCGCCGCGAGGACCAGACGGCAGTGACGACGAACCGTGAGTAAGAGAGAGAGAGAGGGAGTTGGGACTTAGCTTAAGAGCAAAACCGGAGAGGGTAAAGGGGAGAAGGACAGGTAGAGTGTAGTGCCGACTATCGAGAGATAGATCGGTCCTGCCCCGCTGATCCCGACTGACTCGGTTAAATAAGGGCTCGCCGACGCGGTGGAATAAATCGTCGGCGGTTACATAACGGACTGGTGTGGTTTTTGCGGAAGCGTGGGTGCGCTTGCTGTCGCGGTGGTCGTTACATAACAGACTGGTGTGGTTATTGCGGAAGCGTGGGTGCGCTTGCTGGCGCGGTGGTCGGTACATAACAGACTGGTGTGGTGGTTTTTGCGAGGGTGTGGAAAGAGAGTGGAAGCGTGGGTTCGCTTGCTGTTCTCGGTGGTCGCCGCGTGTGTGGAGCGGCGCCGCGTGGATTGTGTGCGCTACGAACCGTCGGCTGCGGACTCCTGCGTTGCGAGCGGATACCCGTCTCGCACGCATACCCATCGCATAGCCCTTTAAACCCGTTTAATCCAATCCCCCCAAGCGTCGGAGTGAGCACGAACGACGTCGCTTACCCTCCGACCTTTGACCCCCTGTTACGCGCGTGTGATTGGTGCGTGGGACTGCGCGGGCGGGGAGCGTCGCGTTTGGGTGCCGGCGAAGCGCTAGCGGGTCCCAGGGAGGTCGAGTGTGATGCCCCACCGGCAGGAGACCCGGACTCGGGGGGGGACGGCACAGGGAAGGGAACAGGAGCGCGACGACCTTTCCCCGCCAGGGGAGGAGTGCGGCGGCGGCAGCTCCCACACTAGTGGAGAGTCTGGGAGCGTCGGTACTTCGCGGACAGGGTCGCAGGCAGGGGAGATCCCGGGGGCCGGCGACCCTAACAATATGGTGTCAGAAGCGGTACGAACCCCCGCGTTACCCCACGCGAAAATAAGGCATATATTCACTGGCCGGGGTACACCTTCGTGGAGAGCATTTGCCCGCAACGTCCTAGGGGCTAAGGAAATTAATGGGTGGACGGACGCGCAGACGCTACGTCAACTTAATATGAATCTGGATGGGCGGGCAGCCGATTTTGTGGAAGCCCTACCCGCAAGCGCGCAGACACAGCTAGAGGAGCTGATGCGCCGACTTGATCTGCGCTTCGGTACGCGCGATGAGGAGGAGGCAAAAGCGGCCTTAGAGGCACGCCGTCGCCAACCCGGCGAGGACCTGCGCGATTATGCCGAGGATGTGCGTGAGCTAACAAAGATCGCACGCCCGAGGCACACCACGGAAGCGATTGAGGAGCTGGCCACAGAGAAAATCCAGCGATACTTAATGCGCACGGCGTGGTGGCAGCCAGACGTGAACTGTACGCGCCTCTCCTTTGATGCCCTTGTCGAGCACGCGCGCAAATGTGAAAGAATTTCTAGCGAACGCGCACAGCTCCGAGGACTGGGACGGGAGCGCACCATCGCAAGTCTGTCCACCGAGGAGGAAGAGGAGGAACAGGAGCTCACCAGGATGGTAGGGGGTCGGGAAAGGGGGCCTCCGGTATCCCGCGAGACCACCCCGGGATGGGTAGCGGGGGTACAGGCGGGCATCGGGGGGATCGACAACAAAGTAACCCAAGTGGACAACAACGTAACCCAAGTACGGGCACATGTGACTACGCTGCAGACTACGGTAGAGACGATTCAGACCGAGTTGGGAGGGCTAGCTGGGAGGGTAGCCCGACTAGAAGCAGAGTCTGGGCAGCGGCGCACGGGGGGGAGAGGGAGCGGGCAGGGTGCCCACTATGGAGCCGCCACCCCCCCCCGGGCGTGTTATATGTGCGGCCGTCAGGGGCATCTCATGAGAGACTGCCCACAGATCGCCCGCGCTAGATATACCGAAGGGTTAAACGCCAACGCCCCCTAGAGAGTGGACCACCTAGGGGTGCAATCACCGAGGTCCCGAAACAAAACGACGATAATAATAATGGTAAGCAAGTGACACCCACACAGGTCACGGCCACAACACCCAAGGACGCGGTGAGGACGGGCGACTGGCTACGGGAGCTGGTGGCAGGAATCACGGGGGCCACGTCACTGGTGGAAGGACAGGTGAACGGGCAGCGCACCCGGATCCTACTGGACACGGGGGCCGTAGCCTCACTCGTGAGCGCCGCGCACTGCAGCGTGCTCGGGGTTGACGTGAGCCGCCTGCCGGCCCCGGATTGCGCGCTGCACACAGCGAGCGGAGCCGGGATGGGGTTGCTGGGAAGGATCTCCCTCGAGGTCCGTCTCGGAAACCAGGTGTGCACTCAGGAGTTCTACGTCTCGAGTGTGCTGTGCCACGAGTGTATCGCAGGTACCGACCTCCTGGAAAAGCTGGGGCTCAACGTGCAGCCCCGACAGCGGTGCGCCACCGTGGAAGGCAGCGGGGAACGGATTCCATTCCTGGGACGGGAGCCGAATCGCCCCCGCTTCACACCTGTGGCCGCTACCCTGACGACGGCCGTCACCATCGGGCCGCTCGCCGAGATGCTGGTACCTGTGGCGACACCCTCCACCGACCCCGCGCACCGACCATCGGGGGAGGTAATGCTAACTCCTCACCCGGAGTTGGCAAAACGATACGGGGTTGTGGGGTCAGCCACGTTGGTAAACGCCGATGGGGGCCGATTGTTCATGCGTGTGTTTAACCCCCACGGCACCCCAGCAATACTACGACGGCGCACCACAGTAGCCACCGTGCACCCCCTACACGCGCGCCACTCCAGCGACTCGGTATTCGCACTCTGGGCGGAGGACCCCGGTCGCCCCGAGGACCAACAAGACCTGGCCTGGCGAGTCGGCCCGACTCCCCACGCCGAGGTCGTCCCCCTTCTTGACGCGGTACACGTACCTTGGGCAGATTTACCCAAG